CTTTTTATTGCCACAATTACCTTCACAAAGCAGCTGAGAAACATCACCTTTCAAAATTCTCCTTCCTCTTCATACACTGTTGCTACTTTTTCCGCAGAAAAACTTGAACTTGTGTCATTTAGATCAGTTACTCCGTTATCGTCAGAAAAATATGAGCAACAATTTTCAAATTTTTTCAGTCGCCTTTCTTGGTTTCTTTAAACGAGTCTCGTTTCTATTCACAAACAAACGAGTCTCGCTTTAAATCGTTTATCGAGTGACTTATAAATCGTGACGATTTAAAATCGACTGGTTGCCCAGAAACTGTGAGTGATCCCACAAGTTCAATACGTTTATCACTGCTGTTTGTGTTTTATTTTTTATCTTTTTAGTTGAAATTAAATCCTAAGAACCTCGTCTGGTGTCAGTGGCGCACAGCAGAGTCTAAAAAATGAAGTAGTGCATCGCACGACACTTGTCAGCCGAAAAAATGTAAGTGAAATTGTTTATAAAGCATGACCAGTAAGTTCGTTTTCCTAAACTCGGACTCCCGGTCATCCAGTGATTTAAAAACCGTGATCGACAGTCGACCAAACAAAGAAACCCAAGTGTCACAAACCATGGTTTCGCTCTCTGAGCCGACCGTAAACCAAGCGCTAGACTTACGATCTTGAAAGCTTTCCTGGATCGGTCGGCAGTTCTTAATCGACATATGATAGTTTGAATTTGAAGGGTTTGCAAAATATCAGACTGCCGGTCATTTACTGATTTGAAAACCTGATGGGCATTTAGACACAGCGTGAACGAAAATGATACTTTCGTTATAAGACCTTGCTGTTTTCCTGGTTGTTTTGGAAAACTGTTGGTAAAATAATGCATGCCACGCGTGATGTGCTTAAACAGGTTTAGCATTTGGAGATTCGCAGTATTCAATAACTTTGAAGCGAAAGCGAAATAACAAAAAAATCTGGATACCAATAATGGAAAAGGTTTTTGGGAACATTTCTGCCAGTGGCATCGAAAGACGCTTGAAACGAACGTATAAAAGTTTAATTCGATAGAAAAATATTAAAGTTTAAAAAAATCAATTCATATGTCTGGAGCTGTCACGTATTGACAGATGTCGAATTATGTTGATGACAACCAACTAACTTTAAGTGATATAGCTCCAAGTGTGGTTCAGGCTGCCCTCATCCGGAACTTAGAGACACCTCCAAATGGTTTCATGACTGTGGTCTGACCCTAAACTTGGACAAATGTAAACTCCTAGTTTTTCCCAAGCGAAAAATTAATCTAGTAGAACTGGATATTGATGTTTTCCAAGTCAAAGCGACCGATAATGTGGAACTCTTAGGGGTTGTAATTGACAATAAGTTAAACTTTAAGAGTCATATATCTAGGTTAATTAAGAAAGTAGGTAAACAAATTGATGTACTTAATCGATTCAAACACATTCTTTCGTTTTCGTCAAAGATACGTATATATAGGGCATTTATCATGCCTCACTTTACTTATTGTAGTTCTGTTTGGAATAGCTGTCTCAAAGAAGATAGTGACCGGTTAGAGAGATTACATGAGAGGGCCCTTAGATACGTGTTTAATGACTTTTCCAACGGATGTGATAGTCTATGTTATAAGATTGGTTACTCATTAAGTTGTAGACGGAAACAAGATATGCTTTTAAT